GATAGATAGATAGATAGATATATCTGATTCTGAAGAGGGTTAAACTTGATGGCTTCAGTGACACTTTTTAATCCTACGAAATTTATGAGATGTTAAGAGATAGGGGTTCTAAACTCGATTCACTTATGAATTTAATTGGTGGCTAAACCAAGATAAAAAGTACTTCTTGACTATAGGCGTACTGTCATTTTCTTAGGATTAGCAATAGCACTTAGACTTACATACTGCTTTACAGCGATTTACAGCCCTCTCCAAGTGGTTTACACTGTCAGCCTCTTGCCCCCAACCATCAGGGTCCTCATTTTACCAACCTTGGAAGGATGGAAGGATGAGTCAACCTTGAGCCGGTCAGGATCAAACTCCTGGCTATGGGCAGAGTTAATCTGCAATACTGCATTCTAGCTACTGCCCCACCATGGCTCTTGCTTCTCACATATTTTTGAAATCACACACACACACACACACACACACACAAACTCTGACATCAAACTCACAGAAAAACCAATGTGTGAAATCTGCTGGGTAGATCATTGAAATTATAATCCCTAGAACGATTGAGCTAAGCAGTCTTCAATGCAGGCAAATTAAAGGAACCTTCACATGGCTCTGTATACTCTGTATACAGACACTTTTCCCATGCCGGTCTGTTTTGAAAATACATTTCATCTGATGTTTTTTTGTTTTTTTGTTTTACAAGACATGGTCCTGATGTGCTTTTCTTCTCTCCTTCAGGATTTTAAGTCTGGTTATGGCATCACAATCATACCGATGAACGTGGCTAACGTGAGGCAGATTGATCGGACCGCAAAGCAATGTTTTGAAATAATTACACCTTATCGAAGCTTCAGGTAAATCCAGCGAATGTTGGCTTTTTAAAATGTTAAGGCAGAAGTTTGGAGAACAGTGAAATAAAAAGTACTCTTACACAACATTGAGATATTCCTTGATTGACAACAGCTGATTTAGTGAGCCTTCAAACTTACTTTCAAAAAGAGACTGGGCTGCCATTTGTCAGAAATGGTGTAGGGTCTCCTGCTTGGGTGGGGGTTGGGCTAGATGACCTACAAAGTCCCTTCCAACTCTGATTATCAGTTATCTGTTTCAATGGCACTGAAAAACTGACTTATGACTATTTTTCACACTTACAAATGGGTGGGATTCTACCAGTTTGGATTGGTTCGGGCTCTGAAGATCAGTTTCTTTATTTCCTTTTGTGAGAGCACAGCTGGTTCGCACGGCAGAGCGTTTGCCGCACCTCAGCTGTTTTAGTTGCAGGGACTGCAGAAGAAGGTAAATGTGCTGACCCAGGGTAGGATACAAAATAAACACAGTCACGAAAACAGGTGAAGCCCCTTTTATTCCTTCACTTTGCTTCAAAGCTCCAAATATCCTTGACTGGAGACAAAAAATTCCCCCACAAGCAGTTACAAAAAGGAGGAAATGCCGTTTAAACTAAGTATGCCTATAAATTATAAAGAGTAAAAACAACACAATGAAGCAATTAAGGGAACCAGGCAAGATAAGGGCTTGAAGACGTCCATAGATATTGGAACACACACTGGGAAGGACGCCAAACTCAGAGAGGAACCGACAGACTAGAAATATTTTTATGCTTTGTTTCCAGCACTGGCCCATAAGCATGTCCGTCTTTTTGACCAGTTCTCACAGCTGCAGCCCATGAAGAGGATCAAGGCCCTTTCCTCCCCAATAGACCACACCATTCACATCTCTCTCTTATCCTCTCCTCCCTGCGTGCCCTAGGATGGAGAGGGGATGGGCCTGGGTCCTCCTCTGACTGCCCAGCCAGCCTCTGCCCTTTCCCAGCCTGCTCCACAACCTCCGGAGCTACACTCCCACTCCCTGTCAGCTGCTCCTCTTCTCCCTCAGAGTCAATCTCCACCAGGAGCACGACGGTAAATATAAAACCTTTTTGAAATGCGGAGCATTTGGTGCGAATGCGCGTGATTCCCAAACCGATTGTTATATCGGAAGAATCACACCCCTGCTTTCAAACATTGCAGCATCCCCACGTGGTCACATGATCAAAATTCAGGCACTTGGCAACCGACTCATATTTGTTACAGTTGCGGTATCCCGTGGGTCACGGGATCCCCATTTGCGGCCTTTGGACAAGCAAAGTCGATGGGGAAGCTAGATTTGCTTAACAACCGTGTCGCTAACTTAACTGCAGTGATTCACTTAACCACTGTGGCAAGAAATGTCATAAAATGGGGCAAAACTCAACAAACATCTCCCTTAGTAATAAATTTCAGGCTTAATTGTGGTCGTAAGTCAAGGACTACCTGTAATAGCTCTTTCAGTATAACAAAGAATAACTGGAGTGAACATATTTGTTGCGAATTAGTTTGAACAATAGTTCACTTCCTTTAGTATTTCCTACATCTTTTTTTATGTGTGTGTGTGTGTGATATTTAAATTACATAATGTTTTGTTTCCCCCAAATGAAAATAGTGTGATGTTTAGAGATCGGTAAAAATAATTGTTGCCAACTTGACAATTTGAAGACTTGTGGACTTCAACTCCCAGAGTTCCTCACCAGCCATGTTGAGGAATTTAACATACTGGCTGAGGAATTCTGGGAGTTGAAACCCACATGCCAGCTGAGGAATTCTGAGAGTTGAAATCCACATGCCAGC